AGGAGGGAGAGAGAAAGAGAGACGCGGATGCGGAGACATCGACTGAAAAAAAAAACGTCGGCGTACAGGTGGTCGGCAGCGAAACGATCGGAGAGTACCGCTTAATGGGATTCAACGACCTCCGTACGCCCGTTCGGTCGGGAATCTAGGAGTATCGGCCTGTATCAACCTATATCGCCCGCTTGCCGATCCCGTCGGCACGTCAAGGCGCCTCTCTATTTACCCCCCGGATCGATCGCGTCCGCGTCTCGCCAATATTTGGAACGGACGAATATTAACTGTGAAAATGAGAATTTCCCTGTTTGTCGCGCGGCAGAGACAAATCGTCACGTAGCCGTTGATACAAAGCTCAGCTCGTGGTTAATTGTGTTATATCCAAAATTGCCGCTAAACAGACGCGAGTAAGATAACTGCTTAATCTTAACTTTATAATAAGTGGAATTTTACTTTAAATTTTCATTCAAGTATTAGACGCGACGGTATTCATAGATTTTGTTGAACGCGACAAAAGAAAAGGTAACACATATCCCGTCGAATATTCATTAACAAGTCAAAGTCAATTTCAAATTCAAAGAGGAAAGAAACCGGGCGGAAGTGCGCAACGTCTTTCTCTGTAAATCTCATGTCGATAGATATCGCGTTCGTTCCGAGCGAACGATTCGCCGGCTCCGGCTTATTTGCTCGCTTTTTCTAAGGACGATCCGCAAGCTCGATCGCCGGGCGAGTCGCGCGCAAAATCGGCGCTCGGCGGAAATCCCCGCGGAGGGAAACAAGATTTTTCGCGTCATAAATTCCTGCGGAAGGAGAGCGATCGAGGATCTTTCGCCTGTAGCGGTACCGTCCTTGCCCGATCGCCTCGAGCAACGCTGGCCCTGACGCGCGTTGGTAACTGTTCCCGTATCCTGTCCCGACTATTCCTAGCCGAGAGCGTCCGGTATGCCGCGCGAGCAAGCGAGCGTGCGACGCTCGAAATCGCACGCTGAAAATGGCGCGCCTCGACAATTATCGAATCGCCCGCCCGCGCGTTCGCATTGAACGCCATTTAATATTCATAAAGTTATTTATATATTCCCTTCATACAGCATTAATATATATATAAAAGAGACCAATCTAAGAACAGCGAAAGGAAGCATGTCATTGCTCGTGCCTGCGTGGTAGGCACGAGCTCTTTTCTCGAAATGTCAAAAATATTTATCGCGCGTGTATTTCCAAAAAATATTGGAAGTGAAGGTACGAGGTCCGTGATTGTAAGGAAAAAGGAATAATGCTCGATTCGAATCTAGCGCTGACAACGAAACGAATACACTCGCGCGGGCCGGCCTCGCGCGTTCGTGCGGCTATCCGCTCGTTCGGCACGTACGCGCTTGTTCGACACCGTCCGAACATTATACCCGAAGTATCCGCAACGGCGAAGTATCGCACGCCGCGGCTTTGGATTTACGAGTGTCAGCCGTGGCGCGCTAGGACAGCAAGATATTGGGAGGGGGATGGCTGCTGACGGTGGCATCGGGGTCGCGGGACGCCACCGCGGTACGAAAATAAAATCCGTCTCGCCGTTGCGCGGAGAGAAAGAGAGAGAGAATCCGTTGATCGCGCGCGCAGCCAAGATTTCGAGTCCCCGACCCGCGATGCTCCAGGACAGATATACGCGACTTTCGTAGATATAATATCAGCACTCTTATTTAACACTTTCTGGCGACCACACGCGCCTCTCCGATGAGGCCCAAATGTCATTCCGTATCGTGCAGCTCAGCGCGTATAATTTTCTATATAAACTCCTAAATATAATATAATATTTGAAAATTGGCACCGATAATCAAAAAATGTTATGACATCGAATGTCATAAACACCTGAAATACATTTCCGATCGAATGAAATGACGAGAGACCTATATGAATACACATAACACGTTCTGTTATTTTATATCTATATTTTTTAACGCGTTAATGTTTTATTTATAACGCCTTGTATATTACCAAATATAACTGGCAGAGCTTCACGGATTTTTCTTCAAAAAATCTGTTTCCGAATTAAGATTAACGCACTTTGTCAAACTCGATAGTCTGCATTTTATACAATTTGATTAAGAATTAGACGAATATGTCAATTAAATCTGAAAAGCTTTTGTTTCAAGAAACTTGACAGTATATTGAACGCGGCAAATATAGATATTTAACTGCAAATATAATATAAATATATAATATATATCAAACTTGATATATACGTCCTTTCACAATAATAACTAACAAACGGCTGTCGCGATGATAGAAGAGAGCCTGTGATAGACCTGTGTTTCCCCCCGTCAAGTTTACGCTCGAAAGTCTACAAATATATCAGCTCGCGGAGAGAGAGAAGTGCAGGCTAAATAATTTCTATTTTGCAAAAAGCACATGGGCACGACCGGACAAATTTGTCCGGTGTTTTACCGGGCGCGAAAGTTTCGCGGAACGGGAACGTGACAATTCGTCAACGTGATTTATAAATTCGTGCCGGCGAATACACCGCCTGGGTAGCCAGCGACCAGGAAAACTCCGCCCGAAATGATTGTAATGCGCGTTCTGCTAAGCGCGTGCGGATAAAAACTCTGTCGCAACACACGCAGAAGAGTTGGATAAAGATCCAGCATCTCGAATGTATAAGATATTAAAATTCCTGTGTGGAAAAAAAGTCGAAACGATCTGTGTGAGACTCCGCTCCTAGACTTCTTCGACGGCACAGCCGCGCTCAAGGCTATGTCGCAACGATGTGGTAGCGTCATCGATATCACCGTCCAGCTCAGCGGAGGAAGATACGAGCCAGCGGCAACAGCAGCAGCAGCAGCGGTGGTGGCGGCGGCAGCAGCGGTAAACGCGACGTGGACGATGTAGACGATGACGACGACGACGACGGCGGCGGCGGCGGCGACGGCAGCGACGACGAGGATCGGCTCCGCCGCTGTGTTACTGTTATTTTTAACCCGACGCCGACGCGCCGAGTCCGTAGTCTAAAACCGCGTCTAACCTCCCGCGTCCCTCCCTCCTCCTCTTCAACGTTCTTCCTCATCATGATTCTCCTTCTCTCTCTCTCTCTCTCTTCGGCTTCTTCCTCTTCGCTTTTCTCCTCCTACTCTTCTTCTTCTTCTTAGCCAAGACGATGGAAGGGTTCGCCAGGCGCGCATATTTCGAAGCCTATTTTCAAAGTGACTTTCTATTTCCAAAGTCACAGGACGTCGGTCGGACGTTCAGGGCGCTTCTCGAAGACGAGAATCGAGCTTAGAAAGCGCAACAGACTCGAAGTTCGCTTTTCCCAAACGCGTTGCGTTTCGAATTTGCTGTCAAGAAGTTTATCTTTCGAAATAAATTGTTATAATACGGCGATTTAATGTCATTGTTTAGAAATAATTTTAGATTATAGATTCAAGTATTTCTGTATTTTACAGAAATAGATATTATAATTCTCGATTTTAATTATAATTTAATTATTGGCTGATACCGACGAAGAATTGATAATTTTGAAAAAAATGCAAGGGTATAAAATATGAATATTGCATATCGCGTTGATTTGCTTTGCGATTGTCTTAAATTAATCCATGGAACAATCGATGCGATCAATTTCTATAATCAATGGATAATGGCGCCTATAGTCGGGATTATCGCTTGCAGTATATGGAGCCAAAACGAAAATGATTGCGCGGTAGATGGAAATTGCGAAGAACAAGTCCTTCCAAATTGCACTTTATATTACAAGGGGAAGTGGAAATATCTCGCGGTATATTTGGAAAATTCACTACGAATCGACCGGCCTGATGTACTCTTGTTTCCGGTCATTAGCTTTCCATTTGCCGCGCGCACATTCAGGGCTACCGGCGTCACGCGTGACACAAAAGACAATACAATAGACATGGTCTTTTATTGGAATGTCCCAAATCCATTACATCTCCTATTATTGCACACTTTTTTCAATTTTACTCGCAAGAAAATTTCATTAGTATGAATTTCAGAACAAAACTTGTAAGTTCAATAAATAAGAAATGTAAGATTTGTACATTTCAATAAATAAAAAAGTTTACGTAATTATGTGATAAAATTCGCTTACCTTTAGGCCCAAAACATCTTCCCTTTCATTAGTTTTATGCTGAAAACAGAAAGAAAAAATATATTTAATTCACTTAATCAATTTGATCAGGTTTAATTTTTAAATTACTACTTTCTACGTCATTATAAAGGTTTTACTGTTATATATCACGACCATAATAAATAACGGGTTACATTTACAAAGTGTAACTTATAATAGTAAGATTAAAAGATATATAGAAATAGATAACGATTCATAAGTTCATCTTTAATGAGAATAAACGCGGCGTCTATTGCTTTCTCCGCGAATGCGGTCACAGCTGTTGCTATTGTTTGTCGTGGAACATTTTTTCGAGAAATTCTCCAGAATCAGAGAATAGATCAGCGCTAAAAAAAATCGAAACAATTCTGACGCGGCGCGCCTGGCGCGAAGTTAATGACGGTCGATAATGCCCGTCAAATGCCTGTAATACCGATAGCCAGGCCACGGATAGCGGCACACACAAAAGCAGCAGGATAGAGTTTAGCCGAGAAACGCTCGAGCCGTATGCTCGTCGCGGGAAAATCCGTTTGAAGAGCCAGTTTTCCCGCCAGTCGAGTCAGCAACGTCGCGCGGCGCGGCGGCGAGAGGCGTCGAGAGAAAGAACGAGTCGGTCTGCTAGGCGCGAGGCGTCGGGCAGGAGGAACGGCGCGGGAGGGAAAGGAACGGGCGGCCAAGGAGAGACGGAGAGAGGCGACGGAGAAGAAAAAGAGAGAACAAGAACGAAAGAGAGAGAGAGAGAGAGAGAGAGAGAGAGAGAACCTCGAAACGTGACAACGCCGCGCTAATGCGTTGTAGACTCGGTTCCGTGCTGATACCCACGCTCCGAGGCCTCGCCTCGCCTCACCTCGCTTCGTCTCGCCTCGCCTCGCCTCGGCTCGCTTCAGCTCGTCTTGCCTCGTCTCGCCGCGCCATGCCTTGCCATGCCATGCCTTGCCTTGCCTTGCCTTGCCTCGCCTCGGCGGGAAGCCGCCGTTGCCTCGGCGTAGAACGAAATATTTCTACCGGCGAGACTTTCTACTCGGCAAGAAGAACCCGAGGGTTGTGCCGAGGCGCGACCGGGTTTCGACAATGCCAACCAGGGTGGTAGGATTTCGCGCGCTTCCTCTTAATTCTGTCAGGAATGCACCGTGGGTGTGCGACGTGCGTTATCCCCACGGTGTAAGATTCTAGTTTACGGAAATGGCACGAAAAAAAAAAACCGAGATGTACCGTTAATACATGACGTTCGCCGACGCTTTCGCGAGTCATATGGCGCTCAATTTGTACGGGAGGGGCGCGGAGGCGGGAGGAGAGGAAGATTTTGAATTAAAGGCAGAGCACATTTAATGCTACTCCCCTCTGACAGAAACAGTTTTACAATTTCGCTACGTGCAAAAGTCAAGCTTCGACTTCAATTACAATCGTAACGCTTTTAGACGAGGCAGCGCGGTATAAAATATTAAAGCGTAACTGAACCCTTCGTACATTATATACAGCGTGTAACGTGTAGCAATGGTATATTATGTATACGCGACGCGCGCGCGCACGCGCGCGCGTGTGTGTGTGTCGTGTGTGTATGTGTGGCGGCGCATCGTTTGGCTTCCGACCAAATATACGCTCGATCGATCGCACCTACCGATCCGTAGCGAGCTCTCTCGCTGCCGCCGCGCGCGCTCTGCGAGAGAGCTAAACGCGGACGGAACGGATAACACGGGGGGCTTTCGAAAACGCTGCGTTCGATCGCCCGCGCGTTGTTTTATACGTCGGGCTAGTGCCGCACAACGGCCGGCAAGAGAGAGAATCGAGTGCGGAGCAAGCGGGCGCGCGCGCGCGCGCGCGCCGATCGAATTTTGCAGTTTCGCCGGGACGCGCATGTCCGACGCGGCGCAACGCCGGCAAGCGGCGTTTATGTGTAGAAAATATTCGCGGTTGAAATTCGAAAGGTAGCTCTAGCTCGCGAGCAGCGTTTCTTCGACCGACGACGTTCGGTCGGAGCAACTTTCTAGTTTAGCTGACGTGCATGTAGCGAGAAGCGTACGCGCGTCTCTCCTCTGTATGTGTACGTGTCTATGTGGTGTGCGTCTGTGTATGTGTGCACGCACTTACGGTCGCGCAGGAACGTGTGTGCGTGCATGCGGGCATTATACACACACGCGCGTTAGCGTATCTCTCTCTTTCTTTTTCTCTTCTTCTTCGCTCGCGCGCTTACTTCTATCTCCCTTTCTCGTTCTCTTAGTCTCTCTCTTTCTCTTTTTCTTCTTCTCGTTCTCTCTGTCTGCCCTCCTCCGACGGTCATGTGGAGGAAAACTGGTTTCAAGAGAATAGAGCAACTGCGCCTTACCAGCAACAGCCACGAAGAACGAAAGCTCCGACACCCTCGCGCATGAGTTTAACATCGTATCCATATATGTTACCGATGAGCCGCGTTTGTCGGAATAGGGGTATAAATCGGTAAAACTTTGACGCGTATAATTGTCGGGACGAGGTAAAATTTTAAATTACGCAAAAGTACGACCATCGATTATCTCGAGAATTATTATAATTTCTTTATAATAATTTATGGATTCCTCGATCAATTCGAAATTTATCTACCTTCAACGAAATTTTCATATAGAGTCAATATTAACAGAAGAGACTTTATGGAATTGTAATATCAAAATAAAATCCGGAAAATAAAGAGATCTCGGAATGTTGCTTGATTTAAAATTGTTGGACGTATCGACACTTCGCGGTAACATTAAATTAATTTAAGTTTCCTATTCCAAATATAGGATAGCTAAGTGTGTCGATTATTCCCGAAAGGAAAATTTGTCCGATTCCGTAAGGATCTATCGAAACGTGACTTTTTCGTAAAAAGTAACTGTTCATCCACTCGGGCGTAGCTCGAGATAGATATACCGTGCGAGAGAAATGTTCGATGATATTCTCCAGTGTGCAGCGCGTTATGTAAAATGCGAGTTTTGTAATGCTACAGGAGGAACAAAGTTTTCACAATTACGACACCGAAATGGGTTTAACGCGGACGGTGGATGGACGATGACCCTGTTTTCCCACTTCCAACCCTCTCCGCCCGTTTGTTACTACAAGGCGAATAATTCGTGGGGAATTTATCTTTCGGAGTTGCGGAATCTTAATATCTATATTTCCGAGATTATCCGCGTCTCGCGTGCGCGAGTCGACAGCCTCCGTCAAGGATCGTTGTCGCGGTTGGGAGCGCGGATCGAATTAAAAAAAGCATGCGTGAATGATGACCTCGAGATCTTTAACGCAATGCGCTGCTTTATCGGTGGAGTCTCGTTACAGGTAGCAGGCATCTAATCTTGTAATTTCGCCTGGTCTTTTTTCCACTCGAGGCGCACCCGTTTTCTCTTTACCCTCCGTCTCTATCTCGCTCTCCGCGCTCATTCCCCTCTCTCCACATCTCCTACTTACTCGACGTCCTACGTATATGTATATATACACATATATAAATAGGTATATATACAATTTATATGTATATATATTGTATATATGTAAGTATAAAATATATATATTTTATATATTTTATATATATAAAAAAAATATATATATATATACATACATATATACCAGTGACGTGCGCGAAACCCCTCCGCAATATACGTATCCTCGTCTGACTTCGGGATAGTTTTACCCTCGCGAGTGGGCAACGGGTTGATTGCACTGGCGGCTCCGCATTTGCCGGCTATCTTCCTCTAGCACGCGCTCTCTCGCTCTCCGCTCTGTTCTCGCTCGCTCCGTTCATCACCCACTCCCCTCTCGATATCACATTGCCGTCTCTCTCTCTCCCATCCACCGTCGAGCCCATCGCTCGCTCTTTCATTTCCCCTCTCTCTCTTTCTCTGTCTCTCTCACCCTCTCCCCATTCCCTCTTTCTTTCTCGTTCGCTCCTTCTCCCACCGACTCGTGCGATCAACTCGCTTCCCTCTCTCTCGCGCGCGCTTCGTCCTTTTTCTCTGTCGGTCGTCCTTTCGGTCTCTCTATTTCTGTCACCGTCTCCCTCTCCGCCCCCCCTTTCTCGTTCCCTCGTTCTCTCGCGTTGCCTGACGAGCGCGAGCGAAGGGATGGAGAACGAATAGGGGTTTCCGTGGTAACGCCCCATGCACGAGTAATGCCTTCCCTCCTTGTCCGACTACGCGCACGACGTCCTTCTCCCGCTATCGCGCTTCCCTTCCCCGTTCGCCGCCGCTCCGCGGCCGTCGCTCGCCAGCAGCGAACACAGTGCGCGCACACCGCGTTGTTCCTCTCCTCACCGCGCGTCCACCCGCTCGCCCACGCTCCCCACTACGCGCGCTTCTGCGTACAGGCTGCTCCACACACTATCGTCGAAAAGCTTTTGCCGAGTCGGATGAGCGGGCGAGCGAACGGAATTCTCTCCTGCGAAGCGAAATTACGCGATCACGGCGCAAAGCGTCAGTCCGAAAACTCCGCGGCTCATTCGAGTCGAATGTAAATCTGCCATCGTGAAATTGGAGTATGGCGCTTTGCTCATCGATCATTATCATACATTTGCAAACTTACAATAATTGGAACAATTGGAAATCGCTGGAAATTCAAAATTGTTTAAAAAAAAATTAGTGTTATCAGCCGGTAGACATTTGGCGATTTGTAAGGAAAACGAGAACGTTTCCTGAATCGGACCGTAGAATGCTCCGCGCCCAGTTTCCATCCAGCGTATAGATTTTCTCCATCTCGTCCGAGGAGGAGTACAGTTAGGAGAAGTTTAGTCTTATGGTTTTTTGAAAAATGCACTTTTTTGAAATTGCCGTAGCGAGGAGATAGGTCGGCGAGAGACTATACGGAGGCGTGGAGAAGCAAGAGAAGGGGATATAGTTGGAAGAGCGGTGGTGGGACGGGAGGATGGGGAAGTGCGCGGTGGTAAATGCGCAGGTGTATGGGAAAAGTCGCTTACGCCCGTAGTAGAACCGGGGCAAAACGAATCCCGTTGAAGAGCAGCTATGGAAAATTTGCAAATTCGTGCCGGCGCGATGATGAACGTCTACCTAGCGAAAATAATTTCG